TGTTGGCCAGGCTGGTCTCGAACTCTTAACTCAGGTGATCTACCTGCCTCGACTTCCCAAAGTGCTGGGATTACAGGCGTGAGCCACTGTGCCCGGTCTATTTAGGTCTTCTTTAATCTCTCTATAAAACATTTTGTAGTTCTATATTTTATTAAATGTATTTCTAAATGTTTTGGATTCATTATGATATTTTTAATTTACATTATTTTTGTTAATATATGTAAACATATTTTGTATACTGATATATGCTAAAATCACACAAGATGTAAATGCCTTACTATTTTCTCCACAGAAAATTATGTCATCTGTGAGTAAAGACAGTTGTACTTTCCTTTCCAGTCTGTATGTCTTTTTCTTGCCTCACTGAAGTAGCTAAGTCCTCTAGTACAATAGTAAATAGAAGTGGTAAGAGCAAACATCTATGCCTTGTTCTCATTCTTTGGGGGTGTTTTCCCATTAAGTATAATGTTTACTGTGGGTTTATTATAGATGCTAATTATCAGGTTGAAGATATTTCCTTCTCTTCCTGGTTTGATGAAATTGATATTGGATCTTGTGAAATGATTTTTAATTAAATGATTTTATGGTTCTTGCCTATATTCTGTTAATATGGTTAAATCATGTTGATTTTTAAACATGAAATCAACTCTGTGTTACTGACAAAATAAATTTCTGTTCTTATAAATTACTTAGCCTTAGGTATTTCATTGTAGCAACACAAAACAGAATACACTGTTATTTTAATTTTTCACATGTATTAAAACTTGTTTCATGGCCCACCTGTGGTCTATCTTGATAAATGTTCATTGTGCACTGGAAAAGAATGAGTATTTTGTTGTTGGGCATAATTAACATTCTATAAATGTTAAGTAGATCAAGTTGGTTGACAGTGTTGTTTCAATTTCCTTTAGCCTTACTAATTTTCTCTATACTTTTTCAATAACTTATTGAGAAAAGGATGTTGGAGCCACTGACAATAGCTGTGGGTTTGTTGATTCCGCCATGTAATTCTATTCATTTTTGCTTCCCATATTAGGTGCAAAATATTATGGATTTTATTATGGATGAATTAATCCCTTTATTATTAAGAAATTACCCTCTTTACCCCTATTAAATTATTGACTCTGAATACTATTTTATTTGGGATAAATATAGCTGTCTCTAATTTATTTAGTGTGATCATGGTATATCTTTTTCTATTCATTTACTCTTAACCTACTCATTTCTTCATATTTTACAAAAGTGTTTTCGATTTGTTTCTTTGTCCGCATGATATAGTGTGGCCTTGTTATTTTATTTGATCTGAAAATTTCTGCCTTTTAATGGGGCATTGAGACCATTTACATTTATTATGGTTCTTAATATATTTGGGTTTAAAATCTATCATCTTGCCATTTATTTCTTGTTTATTCATAGTTCTTTTATTTCCTCTTTCCTATTTTTCTGCTTTATTTCAAGTTTAGTATTTTTTATAATTCAATGTTATCTTAGTCGTTGATTTATTATAATTCTTTGTTATATCATTTTAGTGGTTGTTTTAGAGTGTAGAATATACAGCTTTAACTCATTACAGTCTACCTTCAAGTCATAATGCTGCAAATATAAGAACCTTATAACAGTAAACTTCCATTTATTCTTACATGAATTTTGTACTACTGTTCCCATGCTGTTTACATGTTTACATGCTATACATCTCACACTACATTTTTTGTTTTTCTTTGAACAGTTAATTACATTTTAAAGAGATTTATATAACAAGAAAAATAGTCTTTATACTTGCTCATGGATTTACTATTTCTGGTGCTCTTTATTTCTTTGTGTCGATTTGGATTTCCATCAGGTATAATTTTTCTTTTGCTTGAAAAATTGCCTTTAACGTTTCTTGAACTGTAGGTCTGTTGTTGAAGAATTATTTAAGCTTCTGTGTGACTGAAAAATTATTCAATTTTCCTTTGCTCTTGAAGATATTTTTGTTGAGTATAGAATTCTAGGTTGATTTTTTCTTTCAGAACTTTAAAAGTTTTGCTCCACTGTCTTCTGGTTTTCATCATTCTTGGTAGGAAGTCTGTGTAATTCTTATTTGTGTTCCTCTGGATATAACGTATCTTTTTAAATTTGGCTGTTTTTAAGAGTATCTCTTTATTACTTTTTAAAATAATTTTATTTTATATACCTTGGAGTAGTTTAACTCATATATCTTTTGCTTGAGATTCATTGAGCTTCTTTTTTTTTTTTTTTTTTTTTTGAGATGGAGTCTCACCCAGTCACCCAAGAGTGCAATGGTGTGATCTCGGCTCCCTGCAACCTCCATCTCCCAGGTTCAAACAATTCTCCTGCCTCAGCCTCCCATGTAGCTGGGATTACAGGCGCCCACCACTACAACCACCTAATTTTTGTCTTTTTAATAGAGACGGACTTTCACCATGTTGGCCAGGCTGGTCTCGAACTCCTGACCTTGTGATCCACCTGCCTTGGCCTCCCAAAGTGCTGGGATTACAGGTGTCAGCCACTGCGCCTGGCCTCATTGAGCTTCTTGGATCTACTACTCTACCCTGCTAATTCTGGATACCTGGGTCTCTCTGAACTTATACCTCTGTCTCCTCAAGTCAGGAACCCCTGCCTGGTTGCTCAATTCTTGTCCTGTGGTCTGGAAACCCTTTCTAGTCAGTAAGCTGTAGCAATAATAAGGATTCCCTGGTTTGTTTCCACTCTCTCAGGGATCACTATCCTATCTGACTGATGTCCAATTTTTTTTAATTTCATGATTTTTTTCTGCTTTTTAAATTGTTTCATGTAGAAAAGTAAATCTAGTTCTCATTACTCTATCTTTGCTGAAAATCAGGAGCTAACTTTTATTGGACATCTACTATACACGAATTACTTTAAATTCATCATTTCATTCAATTCTATCAGAAAACCTATGATACAGATACTTTTAACCAATTTTACAAATAAAGAAACCAAGGGATAGGACAGGATTAATGACTAAAGTCACATATTCTATAAATGGCAGATTATTTGATTCCAGATGTGTTTTGACTTACAAAAGGATGTGACTCCACGTAAAACAGAGAGAATTATAGAAAACTACATGAATGTGCATTAAAAATCTATTCTGTAAAATTTTGTTTTAATCAAAACCACTTTACTGAACAGTTTGAACTACTTCTTTGTCTGGTGGTGGAAGCAAGGACATAATCTGAGAATGATAGTTTTACATTTCCAATCACTATCTTTGCTGATTTTCTTTCTTGTTCCTTAATGATATCCTGGGCAGATTCTACACATTCCTTGACATTTTGTTTAAAAAAAAAAAATCCATTCTGCTTTGAAACTCCAATTTCACACTAATTTAAACCCCTCTTCACTGGAGTCCAGGAGGTTTGGAGATGGGAAAGGAGGATTATCTGCTGTATCATTCTTCCTTCTCCAACCCTTGGAGTGGAAAAGGCATGATCTTTTTGTATACTTCCTCTCCCTTGTCTTTTCAACACTAACCATTTTAAGGTCATGGACTAGGAGAGAATAGAGGAGGCAGAGATCTTCCTATGTAACTGCCACATTTGTGATGCTAAGGCACGACTGGCATTTTCCTATCTATTCTTGTGTTCCCATGTTCCCATAGATAGATTTTCCTGTCTATTCTTCATGTTCTCATGTCCTCTGCTTTTGAGATGTGTGGTTTTATGAGGGAGTTCATCTTCACTCAGATCCCTTCTGTCTCTGCCTCCTTCTGGCCCTGCCTGTGATTCCATTTCCCCTCCGGATGAAGCACTGCCTTCCAAGAAGAGCAAAGTGATGACTATACCATGGTTTCCGCCACCTCATATAACCCCTCTGCTCCCTCCCATGGAGCCAGGTCCTCTCTGACATTCTCAGAGGGCTGAGAGTAACTAGGATGGCTTTGACCACCATTCTTTTCCTAGGCACTCCACACTAAGGCTCCTTCTTGCCCTTCAGTCATAGATTATTTCTGCAAGGCTTTCCTCTTCAGTTCCCTCTCAAAATGACATGCAGGAACCAAGCTTTTCTAAGAAATCCCTCACTATCATCAGCTATAGTGGCAACAAAGGGATGGAATGGGGACTGCTCTATTGTTCTGCAGTCAACAAGCCTCTAGCTGGGGGTACAATCCCAATCCCGGTCTCACCTTGTATAGCATCTCATTCTCCCAGATAATTTTCTTGGAATCCCACCTCATTCATTTAAATTCTGGAGGTGAGGGAATTACTTCATGAGAAAGGATGGGAAAGGAACTACCTCCCACTGCGAGAGTAGCATGTTCCTCCCCGCTATCCCCCGTAATCTCCTTATAATTACTTATTTGCTGGGCAATGATTGTGGTTAGTAGGTCCTGTTTAGCTGCCTGCGTGTCAGTAAACTCTGGGGGGATTACCAGGCCCCAGTGTTGGCAGCTCTATTTAGACTGTGGCATATCAGTGCCTCTTATTTTCAGATGAAGCTCCAAGGCAACAGTAAAAATCCCACTCAATATCTTGTTATATAAACAATGGCTCTGCTCAGCCTTCTACTGTAGCTGTTCAAAATATGTGCACAAAAGTTGATTTTAATTTTACTTTGCTTAGTGCTGCTTTCGCCACTTTGAAAATCTTGATAAGCACCAAAGTGCTCTGAGCACGTGGAGAGGCCTGGAGAAGGTCACTACGGTGTGCAATAATACAAAATAAATTAACTTCTCTCCTGCACGAAGTGGGCACAGTCATGACAGAAAAAACAGGGTGCTTTCTTTTGAGGCTGACCTGGTTTTCAAGAAGTAGGAATGAAGGTTGGGGAAGGGAGGTATGGCAAAGAGAGAAAAAAAGAAAAGGAGGGAAAGGAGGAAAGGGTGGGGGAGAGAGAGATTGAGAACACAGACACTCCTTGCTTTCATTCCTGGCTCCCATGGACACAGCCCAGAAGGAGCTCTGTGGGCCCCTCTTGGGACAGGCTAGAAGCTGGCAGGCTTCTTTTACCCACAGAGCTATTTTGAGCTCTGGCCTCTCCAGCAGGGATGAGTGCCATGGCCCAAGGAGCTAGCATTCTTGACCAGGGGAGGTAGGGAGGGATGAAGAGAGCTTTCAAGTGTATTTAACATTCTCCTCACAGCCCTCTCCAACGGGTCTCCCTCTGTCCTTTCTCCAAACACCAGACTCCTAAGTTTACTGAAGAAAAATAAGCTCATTAATCCAGACTCAGCCTAACATAGCAAAAGAAACAAGACATAGTCTGCTGGTGAAAACCCTGGATTTGGAGGTAAGTTCTACTGGCCCTGTTCTTTAACAAAAGTTTAGTCTATGCTTTAGACTCTAAAACAAGTACCTTAAAATGTATTTCTTTCCCGTGTCCTGACCTTTTCCTCCTTTTTAATGTTAAGCTTTTTTTCTGTATTATAATCACCAAAACTTTTGTTGACAGCAATCTGTTTATATCCTGAGCACATGTTGTGCTCTGAGCTCTGAGAAAAGTGTTACAGAGACTCAAACGAGAGAGAAATGAGTCCCTACTTAGTGCTATTTAGAGGAGAAAGAAGCAGGTGTGGGCTTAGACATCAGGGTACATGGAGGAAGGAGAGCATCTAAAGTCTGAGAAGATGGGTGAGGATGAGAAGAGGAGCTTTTGCCCAATCTAAGCAGTTTCCCTGGTGTTGCCCAGACTACTCATCGTGGATGCTGTTCTACTTTGTAATCAGGATACCCCAATCTTCCGCTTTTTGAGAAAGCCCCTTGACGACACCATTACTCTTAGCTTTTAGCATAGCACCTGGCATACAGTAGGATTATAGGCTGAATGAACCTGCGTATATGTGAATTAATGAACTGGCAGGGTGCGGGAAGGAATGGCCACGTCCTAAGTTCCAAAATCCTCTCCAGACCTCTGAGCAGCCTCTTTGGGAGCCTTTAAGAACAGTAAAAGAGGCTTTTCTTATTGGGTGAATAATGCCTTACATATGTAGGCTGCCTTTTTTTCCCGAAGAGTTGTTCTTACCCATCTCACTTGATCTTCACACAAATCTGACTGGGAGCTGTGTTGGGGAGTCTATTGTATTGTATCACTATTTTATTGACAAGGAGGCTGAGGCTCAGAGGAATGACTACCCTCAATCCTTCTGTGTTACTCTGGAAACTCATTTAACAATAGTGTGATTTCATCTGACTAGGCACCTGTGGTTTCAGAAATACACAGGTTCAACCACTGATCTCTGATTAAAAGCTGGGGGTCAGTATCTCAGTCTTCCATTGATCAGGTTAGTTGTGATGCCTTATTGTCTCTAGACCATAAAGAAGATGGAGAGGCACATGGTCAGGGAACAATTGTATAAGCAGTTTGATTTGGAGAGGAAGAATGCCAAGCAGGCTGAAGCCAGACTGGACCAAAGGCTGCAGAAACTGGAGAATATCTGCCTCTACCATGTGAAATTGCTGACCTGGGAGCAGAGGCAGCTCCAAAAAGAACTGCAGAAGTTGCAGCAAGGTAAGACTTTCAGGACTGGGGTGGAAGATGCCCCAGAGGCACAGCAGGGCAGTGGGCCCATCACTCCGCTGAGGCCCTTTCAGAGCGCTGAGTGCCAAGACAGCAAGAGCTTCTGATCAGAGCCTGGATTTTAGGCTGCCTAGCCTTCCTTGTCCCTCCCCCGTCAATTACATAGCTCCCCCCAGCAGCCTACCCGTAAGCCTTCTTGAGCTAACATTTCTCAGGCTTCCAGTCACTGCCATCATTCAAGTTAGCTCTTTCTTGCTTAAATCCTTTGTTTTCTTCTTTTAAATTTTATTTTTCATTTTGATTTTCTTTCATTATCTGGGCTGATTTGGTTTCACCCATTTTTTGATATCCGATCTTTCTCTTTTGGATCTAACAACAATTTATTGAGCAGTTACTAATGTGCAAGTCACTGTCCTAGCCCACTTTATGAAAGTTAAAAAAGAAAGGAAAGAAAAAATGTCCTCTGGAATTAGTACCTCAGCTTCCTCCAATGTCAAATAAAAGTATTTCCTACCTTCTGAAGTTATTTGAGGATTCAGTGAGCACTTGGATAAATTAAGTGCTATATAAGTGCACACTCTTATCCATTAAAAATTGTTACACAATTGAAACCCTTCTACTGTTTTTGTTGAAAATTGTCACAGTTGTACAGTCTGTAGAAACTAGTTCTCCTTTGTTCATCATTAAAATAATTAGATTGTAATATTACTTAAAAATTCAGCACAGGAAAGAAATATCTTGGCTCTTGAAGACTACATCCTTTCTTACTAAAGGCAAGTGCCAGAACTCAGGAGTCTGAAATGGACAGAGCATGTTCAAGAGGAAGGCCAGGTGCTATAAATGAACATAAAATATTTCAGGTCAACAGAGCTTATACATGACATAAATGCCAAGAGTAATAGCCAAACGTCTAGCCTGGGAATTCTTTCTAACCTCCAGCTTTGGGTTTGAAAGATACTCTGAGCAACTAACCGAACTCCTCTGCTTTCAATTTCCCTGTCTGCAATAAATGCTTAAACCAACCTAGAATGAGAGCTCACATACTGGAAAAGGGTCTTAGAAGGCATTTGGTTGATTCCCACTCTTATTCAAAAAGGACACTGAAGATCAGATGGCTACTCTCAGGAGGGTGTACAAAAGGCCAGGCCCTAGTAAGTGGCTGTCCTTGCTGAGTAGAGAGTTGGATTGGAAACAGTATGAATCAGGAGGTAGAAAACTTTGATTCAGGTGCTTCTGCCTCCATATCCTTTGGGAAGTCATATTCTCTCTAAGCCTCAGACTTCTTGACAGTAAAATCAGGGATACAGGAAGGAAGCAATATGTATTAAGTCTCAATATTTCTTAGGCACTGTGCTAGGCAATAGTTTTCCATGATTCACTTAAATGAAATTGTTATTGAGATTCAATTCTATGCCAGTGAGTAGATTATTTAAGATGCATGTTGCCAGTCCTTTGAGTCAGCAGGTTAGAAATTAGGCTTAAAAATCCACATTTTTAACTGAGATGATACTAAGGCAGATTATTCTGGGACAGGTGTTTTTCAGACCAGACTTTGCAAAACAGCTACTCAGGTAGAGTCTGGAATGCAAATATGAAAAACCGTGGTCTCTGCCCTCAAGGTACTCATATTTACATTGGAGAGTAGTTCCGCTTACAAAAAATGATTATCAAAACTGCTAATTGAGTTCTTCGCAAAGTAGGGCAGGAACATAAAAAGGTTCCTGTGTCTATCAAAGGGCTTTAGCTAAGATTTCCCAAAAGACACAGTATGTGAGCAGAATCTTAGAGGAGGAGGAGAATGGGGAAAGGGTGGGAAGTTTGTCAGGAGGACATATGGAATGGGGCCACTCCCGGCAAAAGGAAGAGTATGTACAAAGGCACATATGTGAGCACTGCTTGCCTCAAATAGCTCAGTACTGCAGGCACGTGACATGGAAGTGGGGAAGAGGAGAACGTGTAGGTGCAGTTTTCAGAGACAACGCAAAATAGCCAATGTCTCCAATCCAATCCAATCATGAATGACTTCACAGGTCTTGCAAAAGAGTTGAGAGTTCACCCTGTAGGGTTTGAGACTGGTGAAAATTACAAGCTCAAATGTTAAAAAGATCATTCTGGGTGCAAAGTTTAAGGTAAAACAGACCTCAGGCTATAGTCAGAGTAGACCTGATAGAATTACAAAGTTCAGGCCATGGTTTCAAGGCCTAAACTAGGGCATTGGTCAGGTGAAGCAAATGAGAAGACGAGCATCTCAAGATATTTAGAAAGTAGAATTGTTGAAACTTTAAGACTAAATATATGTCCAAGGGTAAAGAAAACCAGAATCTAAAGTATATTGCCTGGCACAAAGTAGGTGCTCAAATGAGCTTGTCAAATCTGGTAACTGGGTGGGTAGAAGTACCATACCTTCACAGAGAGAACATTGGAGAAACATCAAGTTTCAAAGAAAGGATATGTTCATTTCTCAACCTATTGTCCCCGTAGGTCTAAACTTCAGAAGACAGACCTTGCTGGGAGAAGTAGCTCAAAATCCCTCAGTTTATATGGAATAGGTGAAGTTCTTACATGTAAGAGACCCCCACAAAAGACCCCAAGGAGAAAACAAAGGATGAGCAGCTCACAAAGAACTCTTCCTTGTTCTGATCACTTCACAAAGAAGCGATCATATGAAAGAGTATTAGGAGTTCATTGTAAATTCTAGGTTCCCTATCTGGTCATATTCCCTCTGCTTGGTGCCTATTAAACGAACTGTAGATTTAAAGAATTCTCTCCCATAAGCAAAACTAGTCCAAGACTTTCAACTCTAAATGACCAGTTCATGAGATGTCTTAAAAACTAATTGAGTTCTCCATAGCAGCTATGTCTGCAAGAAGCTAAACCATCAACTCAACAAGTGAAAAGTCCACTTAGTCATGGCTGGCAGTTGCAAACTCATAGTTGGGTAGGAGGTCACATAATTGCGGTGAAGGAGACAATCCACTCACACCCAGTCATTTTGTTTTTGAAAACATTGTGCTTGCCAAATAAAATGTTCAAAGGAAACCTCTACGGGCTTAGCCAGTTTAAACCTCTGATCTTAGTGTTTCTAAATCCTCTTTAACATATACTAAGTAAACACTGGAAAACTGCTTTAAATTTTTCCGTTTCCATCTATCACACCAGACGAACCTAATGTGTAATATACACCAAGGTTTATACGCATTGGTTTTCTGAAAGTCCAGTTTGCAGAATTCTTTTTCTTCTTCTTATGTTGGTTTCCTAGGGCTGCCGTAACAAAGAACTACAAACCAGGTGCCTTAAACAACAAAAATGTATTGCCTTACAGTTCTAGAGTCTGGAAATTCAAAATCAATATGTCAGACATGTTGGTTCCTTCTGAAAACTGTGAGGGAAGGCTCTGTTGCAGGCCTCTCTCCTTGGCTTATAGATGGCTGTCTTCTCCCTGTGTCTCTTAGTGCTCTCCCTGTATATGTCTGTGTGTTCTAAGTTCCTTTCCTTATAAGGACACCAGTAATATAGGATTAGGACCCACCCTAATGACCGCATTTTAATTTTGTTATCTCTGGAAGATCTTATCTCCAAATAAGGTCCCACTCTGAGGTACTAGGGGTTAGGACTTGAAAGTAAAAAATTTAAAGACACAATCCAACTCATAACACTTCTTAATTAACTCAAGCAAAAACCATGAAGAAAAAGTTCTCCTCTTATTTGGGGAATGGAATTCAGAAGAGACCAGAAGATGTTCTCAAGTTCTCACCACAGGGAGGGCAGCAGCACAGAGCCCCACAGGCTAAGAAAATGAGGTAAGAACTTGATTACTAAACTCATGGGTATGACATTAAGTCCCTCTTCCCAACTGACCTCTTTAAACTGTTTTCCTGAAGAAATGCTCCGTTCCCCTTCTTAAGTGAGACATTTTCCCTACATTGTTACCATTCAATTTCACCCGCCACCCCATTCCCACCTATATTACCTTGGCTGATACTGAAGAGGACCACATTCTAGTAAGTTGAAAAATCTAAAGAAGAGCCTCTTTATTGGTTTTCAGAGATCTTTCTTTTATCTCCTTTCTCAGAGCATTGGCAACCCGTATGACCCAAGACACATACAAAAGCAAGTCCCAGCTGCCTCCTTCACATGATCCTGGCCTCAAAGACTCCATGAAGAGCAAAGAGCAGCTACTCTCTCAAAATAATAGAACTGCCTGCTTCACGAAAGAGCAACCACAAGCCCAAGAGAAAGATTCTGTGAATCCACCTAAGGACGTAGACTCCAGCAAGGGCATCTCTGTTCTATGCCAAAATCAAGAGGTTTCCACCAACACCATAGAACAAGGCCCTAGTTCCAGCCCAGCTCGTAATAGTGGAACGGCACATGCTGATAAGACCAGATCAAAAGATGTTGCTGTAAAGCCAGATGGGAACACTGGAAAACAAATTCCTCCAAATCACACGGAATGTGCAGGAAGCTTCGAAGGCGAGTTCACGAAGCCAGCCTTCTTAGAGTTGCTTTCAAAGGCCAGAAATGTGCATTATCTCCGGCACAGGGTCCCCCCTGAGTCTGAGAGGTTGCTTAGCATTGGGGAGGTATTTGGGCATGGGGAATCCCTGGAAGGCAGGCGAGGAGTGTGAAAATAGAGCGCCTTCTAAGTTTCTTCCTCTCTAACCATTTAACATAGCCTGATAATAACATATTCCATTATTGCTAAGGAAATGTGCTCCTCAAATGGCTATATTAAGCAATACAGAGAAAAACAAATAAACATAATTGAGTTACAATTTTATTTTAAACTTCCTATTATTTTCCGGGAATGTAATATTTCTTGAATGAACAATGCTAATATATGAAAAAGGAGGGGAGGAATGAATCTTCTGAAAGTGCTTTTTAAGGGATGGGTTTATGATGTCATCAACAATATGAATATATATTGATGACTGGACTTGGGAAAACAGTGAGTCTTGCTTTCAGGGACTTCCGGTTTCTTCTAGGAGATTCTCATGGTGCCACCTGCTGGCAAAACGGCGTAGCTATTCTCTTTTTTTAGTTTGATATACAGTAGTGGTAGGAATAGGAATGCGATTGTAAACATGTACTGTAACATGGTCTGCAAAGAAAACCCGCTCTTTAACCACACCCATGTGCTTTCTTTGGAAGCCGTTTCCTTCTTTCCTTTATTTACAGATAGCTCCATTTTAGTTTTCACCTTCCCACTTTCAACCTGCTCCTATCAAATTTTTTGAATCCTATTGAAAGAATAATGGACAATCTTTTCCGTCTCGTATCTTTGAGAATCAAAGGATTTAAAAAACTTTTAATCATCTCCCAACATGCTGTCAAATGCACAGCAGACTCTATCAAAACGATTTCACTGTAAAATGAGAGGTACTAACATTGTTAACAAGTTATTGTTTCAAGTAGGCCTCTATGACTTGGGCTACATTGTAAAAGAATCGATTAGATTTTGTTTCCCATTCAAGGGATCCAAATATCACACAAAAAATAAGTAGTATCATAAGTCATCAGAAAACAATAGCTTTTTGTTAACTCATTTAAACTTATTGTCTACCTAATGAAGTGTAGAATAAAATCATCACCACTTTTTATCTATACTGACTTTATTAGGAAAATCATCTTGCACCATAGGTCTCAAAGAAATCATGCCTCTATGGTGGATAAATTCAAATCTTCAGCCCAATAACAAATTTTAATTCCAGAAGTATAAACTTGAGGGCCTATTTCATATCTGGCATCCATACTTGATGTAACCCAGCCTGGGATATTTTGATGAAACAAGGTTATTTAGCTCAGAAATGATAAAGGACCCCAACCTACTAATATAACAAAGGGCCTGCAATGAAGATTAATTCATATTTAATTTATAGTTCATTAAATATAAATTTGAAGTACATTTAGTTTGAAAACATTTCATTTAATTCAGATTTAGAATTCCTTGTGTTTAAAAATAGTAATTCCTAATAGCTCCTATTTTTCAGTACTGACACATTCCACACAGCATGCCAACTGATCCTCAAAACAATGCTGCAAAATAGTTTTCTTTATCCCCATTTTACAGATAAGGAAATTGAGGGAAGAATGGTGGCAACTTACTAATAGATGGCAGTCTAGCATTTGATCTCTCCTCTACTCAATTTCCTTGCTCATGCTCTTTCATTACACCACACTACCACCTATCTGAAGACAAAAGCTTAGATCAAACATGTGAGAGTCAGTTTCATCAGCCCAGCCTCTGGCCTTCAATGGGAAGACAATACTTTATAGTGAAAAGAACACAAGAAATCTGCTACTTCCAAGATTTTCTTCCATGAAGCAAAGCAGCAGAGGAAGATAGGCCATAGGTGACAGAACTGATTCACGAAAACTTAACTTATTTGCACCAGCCATGCTTGGGCCAACAGGAATAGGCATACAACAATTAGAGAACCCCTTTGTAAACTGCACAAGCTCTTTCCTAAAATTTCTTTCTTCTTGTCTTCTACGCAAGCCTTGCCTATCATCATCACAATTCTCCCTCAAGGCTGAGTCCTAAGTGAATGGTTTGTCACTACTAAGTGGGTCTTTTCACTGTACTAGCTATCACAGTGGGAAGGGGCCATCACAAGGCAGAGGGAGCCAGCCTCAGCCCACACCTCTGTTCCACTTGGTTCCACGCCCTCTGCTCCAAGTCCACCTCACTCCTGCCATCTACAGAAGTGAACATTCTGCATGTTCCTCCTTGCTGTCTTGCTTGTGTCTTCATATACATCTGACAGACCCAGATCTGTCTGCACTATTAAAATCAGTATTTTAGTATATCCTGTTTTAAATATTCCATGCATTGCCACAAATTATACATTTAAAAATCTTCTAACCACCTAGATTTTATCTTCTTATCATTTAGTCTAATACATTTTCCTTCTTCAATACAATGGATGTAATACTCTGATTAGTACAATTTAACACAATCAAAGAGAACGCTGCTGCATGGAGCCTTTCTTGCGTAACTCATTAAATTCTAAAGAACAGTTTAAATCCTTAATCCTCACACGGCACATGGTGCTCTAGGATGGCTTGCTCTCGACTAGGCACAGTTACTGTGCTTATACCAGTGGTTCTCAGCTAGGAGCAAATGTGCCCCCCCCGCCCCCAAAAAACATCTAGCACTGTCCAGAGGTATTTCTGGTTGTCACAACTGAGGTGAGGGGGCTGCTACTGGAGTCTAGTAGGTAGGGACCATAAATTCTATAACACATGGAACAGCCCTCTAAAACAAAGAATTAACAAGCACAAAACATCAATAGTGCCAAGATTGGAAACTCCACCCTGTACCATTACATTAAATATTCACAAAACCTTCTGAGATAGAAAATCAGGGAGATACTTGCTGCCATTTTACAGATAAAGAAACTGAGGCTCATGGTACGTAAAATAGCTTTCTCCATACCAGAATGTGGATGAGGAACGAAGACGAGGATACTCTTTTCCCATACTCTCCTCTCAAAGAAGATGGGGAATGACACGTGTCCAATGGCTCCTGCCCTCATTTTCAGTTAAGAAATGCTTTCAACCCTACAAATACAAATCTTTAACATTCAAATTAGTAACAAATGGTTAAAAGGGATAATTTATACTTCAATTTTGAGGAAACATTTTTATTGCATTCATCCATTCATTCGTTCAGAGATGTACTGGGGACAGATAATCCCTTCCCCGTTTCCTCCCCCATGAGGAAGAAGGAGCTTTTGACTTGTTGCCTTAACTCATTCAATGGGAAGAGATTCCATTTCTCCCCTAGAGACAGAGGCAGCTGGAAACTCCCAGAGGTAGAGACTCAGCCTCTCACCCAGGGTCCCCAGGTCCTGGAGGCTACTAAAGAGCACCCTGAAGGATCTCACAATCCTCAGTGTGGGAGGAAGGTTGGGTAAGTTGTTACCAGGAACACTGGAGGGACCAGCTCCTCTCAAGGTGAAATGAGCCTTGAAGGAAGGGCAGAGGAAATCACTCTTGGGCAAGTGTTTTGCCCTCACATCAAGAGTACCAGGGAAGCAGAGGGCACCAGTCCAAACAGACGTCAGCAGCCCAACCTCACCATTGACAGCCAGAATAGCAAGAAACCATTGCAAAAAAAAAGGCGAGGGGAGGAGCCAGAAGTGTGTGAACAATTGCATGAACCAACTCATTCCCTCACCTCCACCCACACCTACTCGATCAGGCATTCAGGCACTGAAGACAGAAGAAGGGAGAGCGGGCAGCCAGGTCCTCCTCTTCTGCCTGAGGCCACTGCAGTAGAACAGAAGTTCCACCAGGTGGGGAAGGAAGACTGTAAACTGGACAAGAACCATAAGTAATAATAACCTAAATGCAGTTAAATGAATATCTACTGGCAATAAAACTTTTAGAACAGAAGTGCATGGAAGTTATCAGATCAGACTGAAGTAATATTAAGCAAAGTTGGTCACAGTTACTGGGGGTAAGAAAAGATAACCATTCCATGTTTTTACCTCACCAAACTGAGATTTCTCAACCTAATCTATATAGAGATGCATTGCACTGAATTACACTGACTGTAAGAAACACAGGTCTTTATTACATGGTCCTCATCTCAAATGTGGCTTGGGGCATGTGTGGCCCCCTTAAGATTTATAGGAAAAAAATGTTTTACATAATTAGGCATAATGCAAGCTATCCCCTAACTTTTCCACCTTCCCACCATTATTGTGAATATGTTGCTGCTCTATGTCCTAATAATAGGCATCATTAAAAATTGTAAATGAAATTTAATGTAATTAGTTAAATTATTTTGAACTACTCAAGTTTAATCCCATTGAACTGGTTGCATGAAACTGGGCAATGAGGAAACTTTCCTGGTAAAAGGAAAACACATATAAATACACATACAAAGACTCCAAACACACGTAGCACATTTTGGTTAGAATCAAATTGAATACTTGCATGGACCCTTTCAACTCAAAATTATTAATAAAACGAAATCTTAGTTTAAAAATGTGTGATAAACAAAATGTATGCATGCTATATATAAAGATGTCAATGCAATTCACAACTGGAAAATTTTTGAATACTCTGAGGACTATTTGTTCATAGCGAGGTGGAAGAAATGAAGCAAACAGCATAGACCAAGGGTTCAAAACTAAAGGACAAGAGCTAGGACTGCCAAACCAAGTGACTGATTCAGCTGTGGAGAGAGCAACAGAAAGTGAGCAAGCATCTGCCTGCATCACTGAGACCTCAGCCTACTTTCCTCCTGGCTTCCCCTGGAGCTCCAGCAAGTAGGATAGTATGAGCAGAATAATAGTGATGCTAGTAATTATTCTGATACTATTAAATGAAAGAGCAGATACAATTTTACATAAGAGGTATAAGAATTCATATTTGAATGATATTTTTTCTTAGAGGATCTTCCTCTCATTTTCCTTGGGGAGTACACATTCACTCAGACACTGAGACCCACAACAATCTTTTTAAAAATGGCCATAAAAAGAAGGTGCCCCCAAGGACTCAGATGGTAGTTCACTACAAGCACTCATACCCGCAGTATGCTAGCTATCAGTATGCTGGAGGGAGGTGATCATGTTTCAGGGAACTAAGGGTGAATGGCAGCCCTAATACCCTTTTTTAAGTCCCAGCAAATTTTGGTAAAAACGTTTGGCAGTGTCTTTATCCAGGTCTGTCTGAAAAATACAAGCAAAATGAAGTATAAGTTGGTGTGATGGTTAATACTAGGTGTCAACTTGACTGAGTCAACGTATTGACCCTGGGTGTGTCTGTGAGGGTGTTGCCAAAGGAGATTAACATTTGAGTCAACGGACTGGGAAGGCAGACCCACCCTCCATCTGGGTGGGCACCATCTAATCAGCTGCCAGCACAGCTAGAATATAAAGCAAGCAGAAAAATGTGAAAAGACTAGACTGGCCCAGCCTCCCAGGCTACATCTTTCTCCCGTGCTGGAGGCTTCCTGTCCTCAAACATCGGACTCCAAGTTGTTCAGGTTTGGGATTCAGACTGGCTCTCCTTGCTTCTCAGCCTGCAGACGACCTATTATGGGATCTCATGATTGTGTAAGTTAATACTTAATAAACTCCCCTATATACATCTATTATGGGGATATTTACATATATACATATATATATATGTCTATCCTATTAGTTCTGTCCCTCTAGATAACCCTGACTAATACAGTTGGGTCCCAAAATAAAGAAAACTAAAATTAATTAAGTTTGGACTAAAAATGACATTTGGCATGTCTATAGGAAGAGAATTAAAAATCTGGACAGAAAGAGATCAGCAAGATAAGGCAATTCTAGGAATCACAGGGAACTTAAGAACTTGTTATCTTGTGGTTCTAACTCCATCCCTTACTAAACCAAGTGGGACTTCTCTTAAACAGAAAAGCTGGCAGATCTGAGTTTTGCTGCCCCCGAATATCTTTGGTTCTGTAGCAGAAGTACTAACAACTGGTGTCATGACCAAATAGAAAAAAAAAAAAAAAGTCCCTAATAC